ATGGGCAAGGAGCAAGATCATGAGAGAGAAATAGAGGAGCACAGAGTGCAGGGACAAGATACACGGTCAACAAGTTGTTTCATAATAGCCAGCTAGAGGCCAAATGTGGTTGTACGAGCCATCAGTTCAAGTGCAAAGACTTTTGTTTCATGTGATTTGTAGGTTTGTCTCCAAAAAAAAAATGTGATTTGTAGGTGGACAAAGGAGGAAACAATATTGTTTCATAACCTCCGATTCAATACTTAACTTTGCAGACTAGTGGTTTCTTTAATGAAAATCAATGGAATGGCCTGTTGTTTTTTCAAAAAAAAAAAACTCTGGTTCAACAATACAAGTGCTCTGCCCGCCTGGTCTTTCTGAAGTTCCTGGCTCGAGCGTGTCTTCGGAAACCAGCCGAACATCTTGGGTAGTTTATAGTTGTACCATCAGGTCAATGTACACTGAACCATAGCTGTGCTATGAGTCTATCACAACCAATTCGGTAAGAGGCTCAGACAACTTTAGTTCAAGACCACCCTTCCAGGTAACAGAATAACATTAGTAAGGTTAAAACTTCCAAGTTTGATCAAATTCTCAGCAGTATGTAAAGTTAACGGTCCACTCAGATTATTAGCGACATACAAACTTCTTTTTTTACACGACCGAGAAACAAATCACATGTAAGTACCGAACTATACTGAGCCGTCGATTTCCCTCAGAATTTTTGCAGCATCTTCCGGGAAAACTGGGTTTATGTGGCACCCGCTTCCTATCTCAAATCCACCGATTACACTCAACTGTGGCACTATTTGGAGGAACCAATGTGTGTAAGGTAGACAAGATGAGGAAAGTCCAAACGGTGCGCTGTGGATCATATAGTTGAATGGGGAGTCATTGAGTTGCTTACACAACTTCTGAAGCATGCTTTTCAACAGGCCCGCAAGATCCAATACCTGTGGACAACATAGCAATCATTTAATGCAATAAAAAGGGCAATGAGCACAGCCAGGTGGCAGGAGAAGCTGTGTAGTCTATGAAATTTATTTTCCTACTTCAGGCTATTACACTTCCATTTCTGCAGACGAATGTGATTTGAACTAGTATGGTTTATACAACAATGGAAGACCAAACAGATTCAGGAAAAAATTATACCTTATCCTGATCTGTTTCATGGAAGTAGGAGCTATGTTGCCGAGGAACGATCCATATCTCAAATGGATAAGAAGCTGCAAAAGGGACAAATGCAGAAAAATTGTGCGTCTCACTGACCAAGATATCCTTGGACACAACCGCACAGAGGCTGCACTTTCCTGACCTCTCAAAGACCTCCTTCATGCAGTTAAGCCGGGAGGTAACAGATGGAGGGACAAAAGGAGTTCCCAGCATCTGGCTGTGTGAGTGTGCCATTGAAGCTCCGGCAGATGCCCCCTGGTTCTTGAACACCTATGAAATTCCAAAAATGGACAATTTTCAGCACATTAAGAGGAACTTAGCAACTATTTGGTCGAGCTACAGTAAAGGATGTAACTCAAGTAGCTAATTATACATAGAAATAAGGGCATGTACAATGGTGCTATCTTAGGAGTGCCACGTAGGATTAATGATGAGGTGGAGGAGAGAGAACTTATAAGAAAAGGCTTGTCTTCTCTTATTTAAGAGAAGACAAGAGATGATCTCTTAGCACAATATGTCTCACCACGTTTTTAGGAATTGCTAGTTATTGAAGATAAGGCTAAGAGATGACCCATTGTAGACTCTTTTTTTGTCATCTCTAAATTACATGCAAAATTTAAGATAAGACTATCTTATCAACCATTGTACATGCCCTAAGGGCTCTTACATGCTGGTAATTTTTACAGTACCACAGCAGCACCAACAAATAGACAGTGAAATATGAATTTGAGAACAAAAACCGGACATCTTTTAAGTACCGATGCATGAGCAAGAGTTGGAGCCACCTCAGGACTACCTTAATGTAAGGAACCCAATTGTTGGATTGGGATCGCACAAGAGGATTGGGTAAATTGGGGAAGGGGATGAGATGAGTCTTGGGGAGAAAGTAGGTAAGAAGAAGCAGAGACGTGAGAGAGCAGATGATACTCATTTCATGCCTCGATCGATACAGGGGTTAAGTGTTAAATACATCCTCCACACACACACAGGACCTTGGCCACATACGGCACTAGCCTCATGGGCTACAGCCCACACACATGCCAGGTCCACCGCACTCGTCAGGGTGCCGGTGTGGCCTTAATTAATAAGCAGGTTTCATTCGTATTTGAGTTCAAAGTGATGCTGTACAGAAGATGAAACATTTAAGTCTTACAAAAAGCCAATAATATTTGAGAAATGAAGGTAAGAGTTTAGCATGGTTCTCTAGCAAAGTAACAATATAGCCTCCAGCTTAGCACATTCGTCCTCATTTTAAGAATCAAACGCAAGGAGAAATTCATCCAGCTACACCTGTGCACCAATTATAGTTTTGCATTTACTGGTGACAGCCACCATTGATGGTGTGTTAACTTTGCACATTCTCGGCATTCGTCTTTCAATACACAATAAAAAGAATTTATATGCGTTTTACAGAAAGAGATGCACAAATAGTAAACGGCATATGCATGTATATAAGACTACGCGACCGCCCCCTCCCCCCTTGCAGCGGCGGGGGCGCCCTAACCGCGGTCGCCGGGGGGCCTCCCCGACCCTCCCGCCACCTCACCGTCATCGGAGAAGCGGCCGGCGAAGCCCGAGCCGGCTCCCAGGATGGTGGCAGCAGGGCGCCTCTTCTGGCTCCGGCGTCCAGCCTGTCTGCTGGCCGCCGGCCGCCGCGCCCTGCGCCGGAGCCACTCCGTCGGCCTTAACCCTCCCCACCCCGGCCCACTTCCCCTTGCCCAAAAAATGATTTGGCAAGTAATTAAAAATGATAGAGACAAGTGGAGTGACATAATATGTCACCATCACATAGCGCTCCCTAACAAAATGACTCTACAAAGTAATAAATGAAGTTATTTATGTTATCACACATACCACTATGGAATTAGTAACATAGACTAGTAACATATGCGTGTTACTAGTCTAAATTAGCTCACCACTATGACCAGCCTAATATATATAAATAATTGCATACAAATAAGTAATATTTTTATATGTGCAGAGTTAGGGACTATAACGAAGCGTTTAAACAACTTATGCAATACAAGAACTTCAATACCAATGCATGAGCATTTAACTTCCATAGCAACGCACGAGTACTTAGCTAGTGTAACTATGATCAAAGAGTTGAAACAAGCCACTGAAGTATTGACATTACCTTACCAATAACTGCCATTTCTTCAAATCAGCTTAGGGGTTCCTATAAGCACAGATATGTTGTGTTGCAGTGCAATAAAGAGAGCTGAGTATGAGAGCAACACACTGAGTGAAAATTGCACTATTTGTCGGGCTGATTAGACATGTTGATTGAAAATAGTGCAGTTTTTCACTATTTGTCAATCAACACGCGCAATTTCGTCTAGCGTGGCGATGGCAGTGATGACATTCAGGCGGGCCACTCCCTCATGAATTGGAAAACTGTGTGTCGGCCAAAGGGACTGGGTGGTCTGGGTATTGCCGACATAGACAGATTTGGCAGGGCCTTGCATTTGCGATGGGCTTGGCTGCAATGGACCGACCCTGACCGCCCATGGGTGGGCTACTTCCTTGCTACAAATATGGATCTCTTCTGGGCTTCTACTACCAACACCTTTGGAAATGGGCAGAGGGCTTTATTCTGGCATGATAAATGGAGCAGACATGGGCAGCTGAAGCATGTGATGCCTGCCTTTTCAAAATTGCTACTAGAAGGAATAGATCTGGTCCACCCATGCTGAGCCAAAATGCAAACTCTTCTCCTGGCTTGCTCTCCACGGCAGGAGTCTCACAGCCAACATATTGGCGGTTAAGGGATGGCCTCACGACCCCCATTGCCCATTGTCAGCTTTGCCTTCAGGCCCCGGAGACTGCAGCCCAACTTTGTAAGGATTGTCCTTTTGCGGTCGCGGCCTGGAATCATATTAAGTCCTTATCTGGGGAGGCAACCACGACTACCCTAACTCTCCCGAACCCTGGGGGCGTCTCGGACTGGTGGGATGGCATGCTTTCAGTGGAGTCCAAGGAATCGCGACCCCGCCACACTATTTGGAACCTGTGGAAGGAGAGGAACCGTCGTATCTTCAGTGGCACACGCCTAAGCCACCTCGAGGTGGCATCTCTGGCTTTTGAGGACATAAAAGCAACGGGAAATGGCGTTTGCCAGGCAACCGCCAAATGAGGGCATAGACTAGTCGAGTTTTTTTTTCCTTATTTGGTGGTTTCAGCACGTGTTCCCCTCAAAAACGCGTCAAACCACGTTGTACATGGGTTACCTTATTACTTCTTCTATATCAAAAAGGCAGTGCTCCTGCTGGTTCCTCAAAAAAAAAGTCTAATCTTATGGAAATGCATAAAGAAAACAAAACAGAACAGACAGGATTCAAAATTTGTTGTTCAGCTTCCAGTTAGAAAGTGCATACTCTTGTCCATTTCTGTAGTAGTACCAAAAAGGTTTTGACAAAAACATCAGGCCCACAGAAAGTCCCCCAGAATACAAAACAATCTACAGCCTTAACCTCCAAACTAAGCATACATACTGGGCTATTACTCTTGAACTGCGCTGCCAAAAGGCACATGTATGCACCATGTATACAAAACAATCTACAGCCTAACCTCCAAACTAAGCATACACATACTGGACTATTAGCTCTTGCACTGCGCTGCTAGTTAGACTGCGGCTCACCATTGCAAGGATTGTCCTTTTGCGGTCGTAGCCTGGAATCATATTAAGTCCTTGTCTGGGGAGGCAACTACGACTACCCTAACTCTCCCGAACCCTGGGGGCGTCTCCAACTGGTGGGATTGCATGCTTTCAATGGAATCGGGGGAGTCGCGGTCCCGCCACAGTGGGCACCTTCTCTACACTATTTGGAACCTGTGGAAGGAGAGGAACCGTCGTATCTTCAATGGCACACGCCTAACCCACCTCGAGGTGGCATCTCTGGCTTTTGGGGACATAAAGCAACGGGAAATGGTGCCAGCCAATCGCCAAGTGAGGGCATAGGTTAGTCGAGTTTTTCCTTATTTGGGGGTTTCGGCACGTACCCCTCAAAAAAGTGTCAAACCACTTTGTACATGGGTTACCCTCTTCCTTCTTCTATATGAAAAGGCAGTGCGCCTGCTGGTTCTCAAAAAAAGAAGAAACATGTCTAGTCTTATGCAAATGCATAAAGAAAACAGAACAGAACAGAATAGAGAGGATTTGAAATTTGTTGTTCGGATTCCAGTTAGAAAGTGCATGAGTGTTGTCCATTTTTGTAATAATACCAAAAAGGTTTTGACATAAACATCAGGTCCACAGAAAGTACCCCCGAATACAAAACAATCTATGGCCTGACCTCCAAACTAAGCATACATACTGGGCTATTAGCATTTGAACTGCGCTGCCAAAAGGCACATGTATGCATAATCCGTGAAACACAACAGATCAGATGACACAGGAATTATCACATACCTTTTTGTCAATAATACTGTATGATTACTCCGACCACCACACAAAACATTGGTACATTGTACGGAGAACAAACAAGAAACCGTAGGACTGCACACATATCTCAGTTCACCATAATATCTAGGAAAGTCTACTTTTGGTTGTCAACTATTGCATCGGTTTGATTTCACACCCAACTCCTAAATCGTATAGTTCGTACCCTAAACTATCAAAACTAGAGTTTCCTTGACACCCATTGTCATCTAAGAATTATTTTTTTTGTTCTACTAACTTCTAGTCTCTAGATAGCAACTGCCAAGGGGCTAGGAGCACCTTCTAAAGACATTTGCATTGTTTGTTTGCAATTCCTCTATGACCTATCGAGATGGCATTTTGCACTACGAAGTTTTACCAATTGTCAAATAATATACACCCAGGTATCGGACCTAGCTATCTAAGAAGAAGGGCTGAACTTAAAAAAGAGAAGTACCTGAACATACTTCACCGCTGGGTGCTCAGCCAGCTGCTGCACCCGACGCGCGTACGCAAGCAGGACGTCGCGGACCCCCTCCGCCTCCAGATCCCAGAGCCGCACTTCATGGTGCGGCGTCTCGATGACCACGTCGTGGAACCCGAACCCCCTCACGGCGCATTCCCCCGCGCCGACGGGCTCCTCGTCCTCCGGTGCGGGCGGCGCCGCCTCGCGCCGCAGCGCTGGGAAGAGGTTCTCGATCACGCGGATCCGCCACGACGGCGACTCGTCGGGAGCCGGCACACGGAATATCTCCGGCGCGCACTCGGACTCGCGGCCGAGGCAGAAGGGGCAGGACGGCTTGGGGGCGCCGTCGTCGGGGCCGGGGCTAGGGTTTGCCGGGCCGTGGGACTTGAGGTCGGTGGGGCGACGGGAGCGCGCCGGCGAGAAAATCACCCACCGCGCGAACACGGCGTCGCGGTGCGCCTCGGAGGTTCTAGAAGCTTCCGCCATTGACTTTCAGTGCTCGCTGGAGTGGACGACGCTTGGGGCGAGTTCTTTTAGATGATGAGCACCGACGTTCGTCTTCGGTGGATTTTGTCCGTTTGGGCAGAACAACGGGGTGTTCGATCATTTCGGTGGATGCGTTGACCATGCATCCAACACAGTCTGGTCCGTCATAGCCGGCTGAAGGTCTAGTCATTATTTTTTGAACTAAAATTAGACATAGCAAATAGTTTTATAATCAAATAGATTCACATGTGAATGAAAACATTCAAATAGTTTTATAACCTAATCAAAATTGTCTTGAATAGATGAAAAAGAAAATGAAGCGATACATCGAAAGTGCCTTGGAGCACCCGGCGACTACGCCCATTGAAATTGCTCCCATTCAATCGCATTGGAATCTCATCCACTATATTAGGGTAGTGTGTATTAGATGAATCTGCACCATGTATAGCTCTCCGGTATTTTCATATCAAATGATGAAACAACTGTTCTCTCTGACATGCATGTGCACTCCACGCGCTATCTGCCTTAACGACCAACACCCACCAACCCAGCATCAAATTCAATGCACCCCGCTCCTCATCCTCCCATCGTTGCCCTTCTTCCTCAGGAAATGCGATTCTTCCCATCCATCCTTCTTCAAAATCCTCTTCTATAGCTCTTGCCTCTTCTTTCCAAACTTCTACTTGCCACGTGGAATAAAACTAGAATGAACTAGGAAGATTGTGTCCGCCCTAGCCGTCACTCGAGCTTGCCGCGTTCTGTGCCTCCATGGCCGGTGACACCACGTCCGCCATGACCGCCGACACCAAGTCATGCGTTCTGGAGGCCAGCTCAATGTGTGTGGAGAAAGCAAGGAGGAAGACGATGCGCAAATCTAGATAGCCATCGTTGTCTGTGCTTGACGCGTTCAGGGCACCGCGTCTGCCTGGGCGCTGACTCATGTTCTCCGTTCCCGCGGCCAGCGATAACATCAACGTCGGGAAAAGCTTCATAGCATATGTTGTTCGCCTCCTAGTCATCCCCGCCGCCGTCAAGCTCTGTATGGCCATGCCCCACCTCAACAACAGTGTCGTGTATGTCGTGCTCGCCCTGGTCAAGGTCGTGAGCTTCATGCTCATAGTCACCGTCCTAGACCTGAGCTTGCGCGTGGCCGGCGTCCTCCGAGTCTCCGATCGCCTTATACATTATTTAATATGTTATTGTCTCATGGTGGAGCGGCACCGGCGACACCGCGTATGCCCGGCCGCCGGCACCATGGCCTGCCTTCCTGAACACTACATCCAAGCATGATAAGAACTGGCCGCTCCCACAGCTGCCATCTTCCGCGTCCGTGCCTCCGTCGCCATCAAGCCCGACATGGACGTGCTCCTCCTCACCCATTGTGTTCTATATGTCGTGCTCATGGTGAAGGACATGGGCTTCTTCCTCATGGCCGGCTTCCTTGACCCGAGCTTGTACAAACGTATTGCTCGCATCTGACAAAAGACAGTTGGGGGTGAAATTAATGTGATTCTTTGTTCATACGCAATATGCTTCTCGTATTGGATGGAAGCAAACTTACACTACATTAACTGCATCCATCCCGAGATAGTAATGGATGTATGGATTACAGGGAGTGGAGCCTCCGTGTGCTCCTAGTACGCCTCCAGCGATACATCTATTAGTTGTCAATGTGAGTCCATATGTGCTCAACCAAGTCATCTTGGAGCTGCATATGAGTATTCCGGTCACGCATTTCACGATGAAATTGGGTGAACTGTTCAAATGTTGTCGGTATTTGGCACTCAAGCTTAACATTTTCATCCTGAAAATCAAACCTTGGTCGTAGATGTTGTCATCACACTTATCCTCCATGATCATGTTATGCATGATCACACAAGCAAATCCTTGGTCGCCCAAGAATTGAGCGGTACAACCGCTAACACGTGCAGTACAACAGGAGCACGAAACACAAGTAAGACCAAAACTACCATAACTTTCGCAAACAAACTCAGAAATCAACGAACTCAAACTTGTTGGGTATATTAAGAACCAGCAACAGAGAAAATACCAAAAATAGAAGGTGGGAACCCTTGCTCAAATAAGGACCTGGAAAATATCCAACACCGAAAACGAAATAGAGGATGCATATGAAATCAGTTTTCGATGAACTTGAGCTAGTCATGAAGATAACCACAAGCTCTGAAACTCACATAGAGAAAAGCAAATAAGAACCAAGAAAGATGATGCCAAGGATGCAAAAGTTTGAACTCTATACGAACAATATGATTAGGCTACTCACTCGAGAGCCCTCCCTTGATAATACGGCTATCATTCCTGTAACCCAGTCCCTAGTTGACACCATGAGGCCGGTAAAATAGAAAACCTATCAAGGTTACCTTTGCCTTGCACATGGTCCATTTGAGCTAAATGATGACGATATTGACCTCCTCAAGTTGGACCACCTTTCTTGTTTGCGATGACTCGATGAAGACTACTGAACTGCTCCCTCATACTCCATTATAGGTGAGCCTCTCTTCAGCATACCTTTACATGTCCATTATCATTAGAATGGACGGCAAACTTCAAGCATGTGATCTCTTGGTGATGCTCCAGTTGAACTTGCACAATGCAACCTTGATGACGATTACCACTTGATGTCATCCTCCATGGGTTATATGAGATCTTCCTTTTGATGTAAGCTCATGGAAACATGCCTAACCCCACCAAGAAACCTCACATAGATCATGGGTTAGTACACAGAGCGCAATGGACAATGCTTACCATACCAAGAGATCGCTTGATCCCACTCGGTACATCTTCTACGCTTTGTGTGTTGATAAATTTGAATCCACTCTTAGCTTTTAGTCTTGATCAACCTTGTATCTTATCTTCTCTCTTCATTAAGATGATGTCTTGAAGGTAGACATGAATGTTCACACAATCTTCTTCTTCAAGACATGCTTGCAATAGGTTCGAACTCTCACATGACCGATCTTTGGATAACTCCTTGAAAAACACATAATCTTCTATATTCGACCTTGAAGCCAACATATGATCTTCAAGCATTGCCTATGGATAAACCCTTTGAGTAACATTCAGAGCAACCAAACATAGGAATTTCCATCGATTACCAAAACCAAACATGGGAGCGCCATGCTCTTGCACACTCCTGTGCTAGCAGGGCGGTTGAACTGGCGCTTGTACCGCCCCAACCACTACTCGGGGGTGATTTCGCTTGGTGTTGGGCGCAGTACTCGAGCGGCTGTGCAACGGTTGTTCCGACTATTCCCTAGTAATTGGTACAACCGGTGGTCAGGGTGGTTGTACCATTATGTCCATTGCAACTAGGGTTTGCTTCCTGGAGCGGTTGTACCGCTTGCCCGAGCGATTGTACCGCTCACCCGAGTGATTGTACCGCTCCAGTACTTTTTCCCGCGTAATGGTTATAATTAAGGTGGGACTATTTAAGGAGGTGGTTCTTCCACCTCCCACCTATCTCTAGCCTCCCTCTCTTGTCCATTAATGTCCTAAGCTTCATTTTGCCTGATCTCCTACTCTAGCCAACCAAATTTGTTGATTTGCAAGGGATTGAGGGAGGAGACCTAGATCTACACTTCCACCAAAGAAAATTTGATTCCCCTATACATTTTTTGTGGGTCTTCCTACTCTAAGCGTGTTTGGACAGCCTAGACGGAAGAGGTCATTTCAGAGCCACATTCTGTTGTGGTGAATCTTCATGGCGGTGTTGGGAGCTTCCAATTAAGTTGTGGTGAGATGCCCAACCTTGTTTGTAAATGTCCCGGTTGTCGCCTTGAAGACATCACTAGTGGATTCGTGGCACCTTGCATTGTGAGAATGCGTGAGAAGAATAGATAGAGTCCTTGGGACGCTTGGGGAGCATTGTGCCTCAGCACCCCTTCAACAGAGACGTACCTCCCCCAAAGGATAAAACTTCGGAAACACATCCACATCTTCATCGTCTTCACTTGCGGTTACATCTTACCTTTGCTTGTACTTGTTATGTGTTGTATTTGACAGATAGCTTGTTCATCTAGTTGCATATATAGACAACATATTTTATTGCCGAGCCTAAAATTTGGGAACAAAGTTAAAAAAAATTGTTAGTCACCTATTCAACCCCCTTCTAATCGACCATACCGATCCTTTCACCAAGCATCTTATTAAACCCATGTGTGTTTCTGCCTTCTCTCTTCCTAATCTAGATCGGTACCCCGCTAGGTTGTTCTTTCTCTATTTTCTTCACGCAATTTTTTGTGTTGGTTCCATGGAGTGTCGCGGTGCTGCTAGATCGGTACGCGTGGTGCGTGGATACCTTGGAGGCGTTGTCTACTTTGACACTAGATCCACATATCATTCTGGAAAAAAAAAACTCTACGTATGGGAGGTATAACCAACCTACGGGAAACGGCAAGCTTCACTGACATCTTCCTCTTCCACAATATTGATTGTTTGTGAGATCGTAGTTACTTGTACGTCCATAGTGATCTTGGAATTTTCACGCGCGACATAAAAAAATACTGTGTAGCACGTTCCCCTAACATGGGGCACCCCAGGTACTCCTCTAACCCATGTTTTCCCAACTTGAAACTTCATGAACATATTTTATTTATTTGTCCCCGCAAAATATTATTTCTACAAATTTTAAAAGTATGCAAAAAAAAAAACTGGCACTTGACACCGGATTAATATATAGCAAAAATTATAGATGCGTTTGAGATGTTGTCAATTGCTTATAATATTAGCCCTGGCTTATAAAATTATAGCAAACATATTCCTGGAACTCCACCTTTCTTATCTCCGATGAAAATGTACAAAACTGAAAACCGAAACCTATTACTATTCCCCGCAATGGATTTGGAGAAGTGCCTATGAGGATACACACACAAAAAAATTGTTGGCTCGTTCAACATGACAAAGTTAACACTAGAAATCTCCTCTAGAAAAAAAATCCTTTCATCTACCCAAGACGATAGATACAATGGTGAAAGCAGAGCATCAATGGTGATATATACAATTTCTGATTTCTTCAACACCATGTATCAATTGGTCCACGTGCTTTATTTATGGAGTGTGGCGAGATTAAGATTTGACTGGATACATCTTCATTTGACATTTATCTGTTGTTCCTTTTCATATGCTCTATAACCTCTCTTTTTTAAACTATATGCACTATAACCTTAACCTACATGTCAACCGTCAAAGTGAATGGATTCGAAACTACGAAGAAGCAATGAAATGCAACAACTCTTTTTTGAACAATTTCGTAAGCATATCTTCCCCTCCACACCAATCACGAGTTTTCTAAATATTTTGCTTTCATAAATGTATCATTCAGCGGGATAACTTTGTTGTTTAAAAAAAAGCTATTGCCGGTTTGGCCTTGTACTAACCGCTTTGGCACTTCTTCTATGAAATGATGATACACCTTTTCATGATGTATTCTAGGGAGAAAAAAACAGACAAACAGGCTTTGAGCAGTATTCCTCTTACGTTTTTCTTCGCTTTTCGAATTTGCAAGGATCAGCACACTTCTGCGACCTAATTAACCCACTTTTACGCTCCCTTTTGTTGTTTCCGAAATTGTTTGGTTTATGATCCTGATTGAGGTAATATTACCGGAAGTCATAAAACTTGTGCTCGACGTTCAGTTTGGTGCTAGAAGTTTGAAAATACAGATTTGTGGTCACTTAACTTGACATTGCGTGCAAATACGGTCACAAAATAAGCATGCGAACATATGGCCCCACCGGTCAGTGAGTGGTGGCCCTCGGCTCACTCATTTTTGTACAAAACACCCTCACACTTTTTTATTTGCAGAAAAAGACATCCACAGTACTGCATATAGGCACGAAAATTAAGAGAACAAATAGGTGAGGCTGGAGTCGAACCAGCTACCAATGTTTACAGCACAAGCCACTCATGCCAAACCACTCTTCACGTCCGCATGTCAACTACTGATAGCAAAGCTTAGATGTATTGAAAGCGGAACTTAAATGACATTTATTTTTCACGTCCATCAACAGTGGGTCCCACCTGTCATTACACAGTGAAAATTAACAGGAAAAAGTGTGGCCAGGACGCGGCTAATCTGCACCCGAGCTCATATGCTCCCGCATGAACAATAAAATCGAAAAATTTCAAAAAAAATTCAAAAAATTCCAATTTTTTTTTGAGAGAAACATTGACAAAAGTTCTAAGTGCCTGCAAAAATTCGTCATGAAATCATATTCCTAGAAGGCGTGGCAAAAAAAAACAAAAATAGTACTCTGAAAAAGCTACTTTCAAATGCATTTTGAATCACTGAATTTGTTTTTTTGCCACGCCTTATAGGAATGTGATTTCATGATGAATTTTTGCAGGCACTTAGAACTTTTGTCAATGTTTCTCTCAAAAAAAATTAGAATTTTTTGAATTTTTTTTGATTTTTTTTCGATTTTACTGTTCATGCGGGAGCATATGAGCTCGGGTGCAGAATGGAATTTTCGGGCCACCAGCTCTCAAACAAACAACAACCAAAGGTTAGCACACAAGACGTTCTAGTCACTACAACCTGCACATATACACGTCTACAATGAATTAGTAGTCTTAATATACTAAAAAATTGTAGATAGTATGTCAATTATAATTTCAGTAACAAAAATGACATCTAAATATTCATGTGTTAAAAATTTCATGTAATATTTAAAATATTAATATATTTAAATAATATTTATGTATTATAAAATGTTTGTACATTTAAAATAACACAAGTATTTCCAAAATTAGAATTCAAAATATTATTTTAATTATACAAACATTTCAGTAACTATTCTCACATTTGTATAGTTCAATGTTTGTATAATTAAAAATATTCATAAATTTAAAATGAAAAATGTTGATATGAATATTCAATTGTGTCTAATATTTAAATTATATAATTTATTTAATATAAGTCATGAGTAAAAGTGGGTATAATATTCTTAGAACATTCCTTTTTTTTCGCAAAAGATATGCATCTTGTGTGTACAGCCAGCCAGAGTGACAGAGGAAGCGAGAACAAATTTCCATGCATAGGGGCTTGATTGTTGAGATGTCACTCAGTTTTACCGCTCTGTCAAACCGTCCTATTGTGCAGTTAGTATCACTCTCATTGTTTTATTGCTCCACTTGTAAGTACTGTGTTGATGGCATTTTATGTTGATCTTAATGCGTTCAACCTACCTGAACATGGCTTCTCGTCCTGCTTGATGGAATCAACTGTAGCAGTGCGAGCCTCTACATGTTTCAGGTAAAAAAAAGGCGGGTAAAAGCTTAAATGGGCTGCAGATGTACACCCACTGCTCATAGTAGATGTGAAAAAATGAATGTCATTTAAGCTCCACGCCCACCTCAAGAGAAAACAAGCTCCACGTTCAATACATCTAAAGTTTGCTATCCGTGCTTGATGTGCGAACAGGGAAGGGCAGTTGCCTAAAGTGGCTTGCGTCTTGAACATCGGTCGCCGGTTCGACTCGGGGGTCCCCTATTCTTGTGTTAATTTTCGTATCTATATGCAGTACAGTGGTCGGCTTTTTTTGCAAATAAAAAAACTGAGGCCTTGTTTGATAACAAAGTATTTTCTATGTATTTCACGAATATTACAGTTTTTCAGATTACCACAGTTTTATTTACAATGAGCTGTTTGGTTGTCCCTATAAACTGTGATTTTAATACTACAATATTTGTCAAAACACTGTTTTTCTCTGTTTTATAAAAAGAACCCAGAACCTGTTTATTAAAAACAGAGCAGACGAAAAGAACGACGTCGCACGTCGTCAACTTCTTCCCTGCTGATGACTCGCCTCCCTCTACAAAAATTATTCACGGCCGCCGCCCTGTGCTCTTTGTAGATGCCGCCGCGCGTCGTTCAGCTACGCTCGTGTTAGGATGGACAACTCACTCCTGTTGCATGTAGACCTCTCTCCATGGCTCGTCGTTGTCCCATCTGCTACACGTGCAGCTCCGCCGTAGATGCGGAAGGAGGCCAAGCAGCCAGTCCTCGTGCAGCTCTGCCGCTTGGTGCCGCCGGCTACGCGGTGCTGCCGAGTGATTTTTTTGGTCACGGCCGTTCAGCGGAGTTCTCAGTGCAAGCTTTCTTTCTTATGCATGCTGATGGTAACAGGCTGCTCTATGGCCATGTGCATGGCCGTTCTTTGGCCAATCACTTTGTTGCATGCAACGGCTAGCTTCGCTGGAAAAGCAGACGTGTTTGCACTGTTAACGCTGCAACTGATTTTACGTCGCTGCGTCAAACATGTCCTGTGTATTGTCAATACTACAAAATACTCTGTTTTCTCCAAAACCACGGTTTATTATACCTACATGCAAAATTACTGTAGTTTATTGATACTTCAGTTTTTACAATACTTTACTATCAAACATTACCTGAGTGTGTTTTGTGCAAAAATGAGTCGGTCATGCACCATCACTCACTGAGAGGTGAGGCCATACACCCTGATAAGTCCGTATGCGTATTTTGTGACTGTATTTGTATGTGATGTCAAGTTAAGTGACTGTAAATCCGTATTTCAAAGTTCTAGCATCAAACTAAACATCAACCATAAGTTCTATGACTTCCGGTGATATTACCTCATCCAAATTTGATCGCAACTGTGCAGTATGCACTTCCTTCCGGCAACACCCGTCAGTGCTCGTTGGGAAGTCCAGTGTATTTGTTTTGCAAGTTCATTGAAGTCCGTGGAAGAGGTTTTATTGACACAAACAGTTCTGAACTAACAGAATGCATGTGAGCGATCACAGCAACAACTGCGGCAGATCCACAACAATATCTTCCGTTTTACACTCTAGGCTCAGCAAACAAAGGGCAGTACTAGCAGCATCAGCAGAGGTATTTTTTTTATTATTGTCTGAAAATTTACCGGTTTTGCTTGAAATTTACCAAATCTAACACGCTACTGCAGAATTTAGCGGTTGCAAATTAGAGTACATTCCATGAACATGCCAACAACAGCGTGATTCTAATTACACATTCCTTGAAGATGCGTGCGACAGCGCACCACGTTGCTATCGGGCAGGCAACTCGTGCAGAGACAGAAACAAAAGAGGCCGCTACTGATTTGTCTGAAATTTTATTAAATTTCAGTCGCATTTCTAAGTACCACACACCAAAAAAAAGAGGCTGAAAAAATAGACAGTGCAGGCGAGCAGGACACAAATTCCACGTTCGTATTTACATGTTGGATAACAGGAAAAGTGCAGGATGAAAGTGAGCGAACTTACAGGAGGAGCAGTAATCAAATCCTACTATGTTCGCTGGCAATTCCAGCCTATAAGTCCCACTGGCTACGCAGAGAAATTGACAGACAAATCGAAGGACCAGACTTGCGCCGACGATACCGTGTCAAACGCACACCGTACCGACGCTCCAATCTAGACCTTATCGACCTCCCGGAAGCCGCTGCGGCCGCGGCGGCGGCGCGCGCTGACCACGGCACCGTCGCCGCATATGGAGGCCGCGTGGTTCCCGAGGAGCTCGGCCAGGAAGCCTCCCTTCTTCGCGCGCGCCTCGGGGCTGCTGGCCGCATCGGCCTCGGCCCTCTTCCGGCGGCGGCGCGCGTCCGCGCGGGCGCCGGCGCCAACGGTCTCCCTGCCGAGCAGCCGCTCCAGCTCCCGCGTGATCCACTCCACCTCGTGCACGTCCAGCAGCGTCGTCGGCTGCGCCGTCTTCGCCGCTGCCTTCTCCATCTCCATGGCGAGGCGAGTCAGCGAGATGAGATTGACAGATTGTGGCTTGTGAGAGGAGGAAGTCAAGTCGGTGGAGGAGAGGAGGCGAGGATGGCATGCCTGCCGGTTGCTTAAAGTAAGGCGACGGGGGCGCAGAGGCTGACGGCGTGGGGCCGGCGGCATTCATGATCATGCCGCGCGAGGACGCGTGGTCAACTCCTCTGAGCTCCCCCAGTACGTAGTTATGGTTCCCGCGGGTCGTGCGTGCGTGGCAGTAGAGGGGAAGGAAACTCGCTGTTTTGGTTACACCGGCAAAGGAGGCGCCGTTGGTTCCTGCCCGTGCTCCTCGCACCGCCTGTTTCTTCTCTGTTTCTTGTTGCAAGTTGCAACAGACACTGCCGCGTGCAGCTGCGACCTCCGTTTGGCAAATTCAATTCAAATCCAGACAGACCTAGCGTCCGTACCCCCCTATGTGCGAGGAGTGCCAGCATTTGCAGGCATTCAGAGCCTCCAGTTCGTAAGAACCTACAATCAAATTTGAATGACAAGGGTTTTCGTGGATCGCAACCATCAGTTTGGATAAGTTATGGGAAGCACTCTGTCAAAGTTAAGGTTTGTTGCTACTGGCTGCATTGGTGGATGGTAGCTCGTACGATTGGTCGTTAGCTTAGCCGCATTCACGGGGAGACACGACGTGGTCAAGGGGTCCATTTGTGGGTTGTTTGTTTACAGCGTCTCAACGTGCAGACAGGTAAACACGACAGGCGCAACGATTACATTACACTCCGAGATGGTTAATTTAACTCTTAATTCAGCCCAGTGGTGACTGCGCAGAACCGGCCGGCGCGCCAGACTCGATTGGTGCCATCAGCTCTCGCGCCATCGTCGCCGTGTGCGCTCCGAGTCAAACTACTGCACTACACTAGCAAGTGGTTGTGGAGTATTCTCGCAAACTGAAGAAAAAAGAGAGGCAAGTAGTTGTACAGTATTAAAAAAAAGATAAATACCTCACTGGTGCTTGAACTTGCCTTGAATGTGCACTTTGATGCCTGAACTTGCAAAATACATTGAACTGGTTTCATAACTTGACATGGGCGTGCATATACGGTTCACATCTTGTTTTTACACGTCCATGACGCTGACTAGGCACGCCAACAGGGCAGGGGACTTGTCATATGTCAGGGAAAATGGACAAGGCATGTGGCCTTGGTTTTTAAGGAAACCCTCTGAAATATATTTTTTCTTATAAAAAGGCCCTCAAAGAGAAACCGATTTACTGTAATGAAACTATATTAATTAATAATCTATTAATAGTTAAAACGGATCCAGGGTTCAAACCAGCTAGCTGACGCATGCAGGTGTTCGTGGCTAGCCAATTGACCCGTTAAAATTTAGTGTCATGAAAGGATTCATACACTTTATAAACATAAAGTTGAACAACATAAATTGAAAATTTTATTCCAACAATATAGTGCTGTTGAGTTCAACCTAGAACCAGTACAGCGGCCGCACATACCGGTCCAACCAACTACATCGATTGGTAAAATGATAAATCTAGGTTTTTAACATAACAAGCCCGTGTGGCTAAAATGGACCAGAGTGTGGTGCACTTTTCAACGTGTTTGTTTTCTTATTTGATAATTCTGTAAAAAAATATGTAAATTATAATCGTGTGTTACAAACAATATACATATATTTAAAATAAATTACATTAAAAGGTTCATAGAATTTCATAAAATACCTATGCAATAATTTAACAAAAATACACATAATAAAATTAATAATTAATAATACATTTTATAATATGAGAACAAAAATCACATTTTAATAAAATATTAAAATTATTTTTGAAATTTCAATATATTTAAATAAATTCTCATATAATTTCAAAATTTTCACATTTTTAATAAAATATTCATGTGCTGTATAAATGTGTCCATGCTTTAAGTAAAAATTGTGTTGTATTAATACAAATGTGTTCATGCTTTCAGTAAAAATTGTGTTGTTTTATAAATTTTATATAGTATATAAAAGCTTGTATGTGTTCTAAAATATAAATACAAGCCTAGTGCACCCTTAGATTACGGATCCTCACATGAAGAATACTTGATTTATATATATATGTTTTTATCATTCGTAAATATTTTTCAAATGCATGAATGTGTTTCAAAATAACATGTGAATTCATTTACAATGATACGGAATAGTTTTTATTTTACAATTTGTCAGTTTCTCTCAGAGGGCCTTATGGTAAGAAAAAAATTGCAGGGGTTTCTGAAAAAAAATAGGCCACACACCCTTATAATTTGTCAGTTTTTCTATGAGGGTCTTATGGTAAAGAAACAAATTGTGGGGGTTTCTGCAAAAAAGTCAGATCACACACCCTTGTCACTGACAGCGGGCCTCATGCCATGCTGGTTTGCCTTGTCAGCGTCACGTACATATACAAACGTTATTTGAACCGTATATGCAAATCCATGCCAAGTTATGAAACCAGTTTTATGTATTTTGCAAGTTCAAACACAAAAGTACACATCCATGTCAAGTTCAAGCACCACTAATGTATTTACCTCTTAAAAAACGATCGAGGAATTACGCGTGTAGTGAGGGGTTCTTGACTTGACCTTCCCACGCACACAACGTGGATGTTTGTTTAGGTACGAGAGCTACCGACGGAGGCGGCACGGTCAACATGTATACATCAATCGGTCGATATATACATACGCCAGTGCCGTGATCATACACGTATCGAGTAGTATGAATATGTTATCTTGCAATCAATATCCTTCTACTGTCTTGTTCTGTTGTTCATTTTTTTTCATTGCGGAAAGGAACACACCCTGCCGGTGGAATATATAATGCGAACTTGCTTTTGGGCGGCTGAATATATAATCCTGTCTACGCTCGCAGCACTACATGTTCATTTTTTTTGGCGGCACTATATGTTCAGATTGTTGTATTTTTTCTACTATAAATGACCATTTTTACTACTTACTAGATTATTGATGACACGCATTGCTGCGTTTGTCTAATTTTTTTTCCGAGTGATAGGGATTCTGATAAATATAAGAGAAATGAAACATGGATTACATCGTTCAGTAATCAAGATAGGGTTTTACGTGGGGATAGAGGCGGAGGAGGCCGGAGCAGAGGCGCCGGAGGAACGCTCGGTTGGCCGCCACATATGCCTCATCTTGGATGGACTCCAGGATGGCTTGCTGCTCCGTCATCTTCTCTGACTGGGTGACGGCGCACTCCGTCTCCGCCTGCTCCATGTTGAAGCCCGGCAGCTGTTGCTCCGCCTCCTCCACCTTCATTGGAGCCATCTCCTTCTCCTCCTCTTCCCCCTGCTGCTCCGTCATCTTCTCTAACTGGGTGACGGCATCCGCCTCCGTCTGCTTCATGTTGAAGCCCGACAGCTGCTGCTCCGCCTCCTCCATCTCCATTGGAACCATCTCCTTCTCCTCCTCTTCCCTCGCCCGCTCCTCCTCCTCCTCCGCCGGCTCCGGCAAATCCGGAGGCGGGCGGCGCGGGCGGCTTGCCTCGCGCCGGATCTCCTGCTTGATCTCGTAGCGGCGCCCCGACATCAGCGTCGCGTAGTAGGTGATCTTGCTCCGGACCATACCGGAGTGCCGGAGTGTGGGCAGACCGCCGGATCGGGAGAGGGAGGAGATGGATGGGCTCAGGCTGGCGGTGCGAAGAGGGGAAATGTGGATGGGTTAGGGTTGCGGGATGCCGGCCGTCTTAAATAGCCGGATTTGGTATTGGGCGGCGAGCCGGAGCAGCGCCACGTGGCGTTCACACCGCGACGACGGACGCGGCGTCCGTTGGACCGCCGGGTTTCCGGGCATTTCTATATGGGACCCCGCCGCCGATGTGGCGAGCGTGGCCGGACACCCCATATTGGGGCTGGATATGAAGGGTACCGGTCAGCCCGGGCGTTGGAGGTCCATTTAAAGAGCCTGTCTGGGTAAAAAATTATGATCAGATAGTAATTGGACGATTCGTGGGATGTATGAGGCGGATTTGAAAGCACTGGCTGTAGATGCTTTAATAGTGCGAAATTTGTTTTGGGCGGCTGATGCAGGTAGCACGGTCTCTAGTCTTAGCTCTATGGATGTAAGAGGGGTGGGTGGTCAGGACTTCAAAGCCGTGTCTCAGCCTTTCACGCAGGCTAGGCCTCTGCTACGTTTTTTTTTTTTGAAAGGAAGGCCTCTGCTACGTGTTAGTACAAGTCATTTGAGCATGGGGAGACGTTAATGTGGTTACATGGAGCTCCAACCCACACACAAGCAGACCTGCAACTGCACTTAATACACAGGACACAAAAGCTCTGATGCATCGTAGTAGCTCGCTGCTGAAGATCCGCCAAAGAACAACAGGCACCGTCAGAGTGATCAGATAGACAGATGGTACTGCTTGCATTGACAGGCAGGGCATTTTCAAAGAAGATGCGTGGAACTTGCTTTTATTTTTCATCTGTGCGGATTTTTGGAACATGGGTGTAGGCGCACCAGACTAAGCAAAAAATAAAAAAAATAAAAAAGTAAAATCTTTTTGCGACAAACATAGTTTAGCATAATACTCACGTTTAAATTTCAGGACAAAATGAGCTATGTCGTATTCTGAAAGAAAAAACAAAAGCACAGCAACCAAAACCGTGAATAGTGGCGTTTATATAGTGTTGATTCTGTTGTATTTTGCTCGGAATAAGGCTCAAGTTATTTTGTCCCCAAAATTTAACCAGGCGTAGTAATGCTAGACCAAGTATGTTGCCAAAAAAATCAAAAATATTTGACTATTTTACTAAAAAAAATCAATTCTCTATAAAAGTATGGTGTGGCGAGTGCAATTGTATTTTTTGTAACACGGTACAAAGTAGATGCTCACATACACCACATACACCCACCAATGCGTGAAATTGCACTTTGAAGGGCGAGTGCGCAACGATTAGGATTTTCCAAAAAGAATAAAAAGCAGCCAAAAAACGAAAACACCAGCGTTTACCTGGCTGATTTTCGTCTCGTTGCCTGTCGCCTCGCGCGCGTGACGCATGTCCCTTGTGGGAGGTCAACCGGGATTGCAACATTCCACATGTTGCAGTCGCAACACATGCCTTGTTATGAAGGACGGGT